TTGAGGCGAAGGGGCAGGAGGAACGGAAGGCACCACAGGCAATTCCCTACGAAATCGAGGGGACGCCATTCATCCTGGCATTCGCATCCCCCCCAGAAAGCGTTATTCGCGACGATCCCCCTGGCGTTCGAGGGAACATCTCAGGAAGCGAATGTAACGTTCTCAAACGGGAGACTTTACTTTATACATTTTATTTTATACATATTTTGTAAAACTATATATCTTCCTGGTGATTCTCAAATATATTTTTGTAATCATTTTTGTGTTTATAATATATTGGTCTATGTATTCATAAATATATTTATACATTTTTTTCTGAAACCTACATAGTATGAGCGAGACAACGCGCAATGGGTGAAAGCGCGTGCGAGCGAGAGCGCGAGGGAGACCGCGTGCGCATGGCGGCGGCGCAGCAGCGTGCGCGTAAGCGAGCAAGCATGGCAGCGGCGCGGTAGCGTGCGTAGGAGCGAGAACACGCTATGGGCGCGCTACGCATGGAAGGGAAGACGCGCTATGGACGCGCTATGTGTGAGACCGCGAGGGAGACCGCGTGCGCGAAAACGCGACCCACGAACGCGGCCCGCGACGGCGCGGGGGCGCGGCGAGACCCCGCGAAAAATCCTCCTCCCATATTCTCAATGAGTCCGCCGCTATCATTGTTTATGTAAACATACATGGCCCATGTTTATACTCAATGAGCCCGCCGCTATCATTGTTTATGTAAACATACATGGCCCATGTTTATACTCAATGAGCCCGCCGCTATCATTGTTTATGTAAACATACATGGCCCATGTTTATATGAACATCTCGGCGGTTACCCCCTGTGACGTTATCCCCCCCGCGCAAATTCCCTCCCGCCCCGCTTTCCCCTCGGAGCTCCTGGGTTAGAATCGGCCTATCTCTCTTACTCGCTGTGTATAATACGATATCAAAAATTTACAAAAATTATATATTAGTATTCAAACGTTAGATTTTTTTAATTTTCTTTTTTATTCAGCCATTTCGAATTTTTGATATCGTATTATACACAGCGGCCTCAAAAACTTCAATATTCACAGATTAAATTACACATGAGAACCAAAAAAGGAATATCACACTACTTTACCTCTGCGGCACCAATCAGTAGCTTTCAGAATCAGCGATCTGAATAAGACCGTATTTGTGGAAGTTGTATCTCCGAAACTATTGATCTTCAAAATATGAACCAAACACTAAATTCAAGTGGACATTATTTATTTTCTGCTGAAAAGGTGTCGTTGTCGAAACATATATATAAGTACTTCGTTTTCACATAACTTGTGAACCATAATTTTTAGTCAAAATCACCGCTGAAAACTCTTTCTTCAAACAACTGTATCTTGCACACAACTTGACGAATAAGGAAGTAAAAAAAGCATTTTATAGGAAATTTTATAAGCTTCAATTTTGATACAGCTCATTTTTTACGTGAAATCTGTAAAAACTGAGATTTTTTGAAAAAAGTAACGAAGAACACGTTTTTTCAGAAAATATTAGAAAAAGATAATTTTTCTCGAAGTCTGAATAAGCTGTTTTTCCAAAAATAAATAAACTTTGAGAAATTTACGTATATTAATTTTTCATATTCAATTACATACTTGTACTGATAAATATACTGTTGTGTGCCCTCCCGGTATTGCACGGCTGACAGGGAAATCAATATATTGATTTTCCAAAGAAGTTGAAGATCGTTTCTGCCGGCTGGCGTTTGGTTTACGCTTTACGTTTGACAGCTTGAGCTTTACGTTTGCATTAATTAATAAAGTTCTCGTTCAATTCTTCTTCCGTGTACTTATTCTGCGAATGCGGAAGCGTGCGAGACCGTTACGAGCGGAAACGAAACTGCGCAACCGTCGGACGCGCGCAAGAGAGTTCGCGGACGCGAGATATCCGTGCGCGAGTGTAACAATACTATATTTTAACGTAAATTCAGCGTCCCATAATATCTTTGAAACGTCGTATCTCGAGAACTATTGGTCGTACGTAGTTAAAAAAAAAAGATTTTTAGACTAATTCCATAAGCTCTAGGATTTTGTACATTTTTTACATACGATAAACCACAGGCATTATTTTTTCAAATGTATAACAATGCGAGAACATTTATTTATATCTCGCCAACTATTTATTGCACGTGGTTCAATAATAAAACAATTTTGCAGAAAATTTGGGAACCTGTCTATTTGATAACAGATACTTTCTACGTAGAGGTAGCCGATTCCGAGATATTTACGAAAAACGTTAATAAG